AAGATTTTAGGGCAAGGTATATTATTTCTATCTAAATATCGAATAATTCATGTCTATAAGAAAAATCTACTTATGTAACGTATTGTAACTTTCACGCAGGTTGCCTCCACAAGTGGATGACGGAATGGGAAGCATTGTTTTGAGCAATGGAGATTCTGGGGACCAAGGTGTCATCAAAACAACCACTATCAAAGATCTTTTGGACAACATGAAGGTAAATACGATGCTTTTAATATTATAATACCCATATTAATGATACCGTGTTTTATTTAATAAAAATTATAATATTTTTTTTGACAGCCTGGGCCTTATTGGATTCTCGGAGAAATTGCATCACTAAATGATTCAAGTAATTGGTGTTACTTGGGTTGTACTGAGTGTAACAAGAAGGTCATTCCGGATGGTGATAAGTTCAAGTGTTCGGGTTGTGCAGTTACTATACCGCATGGGGTTTATAGGTAAACAATCATACATGTAAAAAATAACACAACAATATATTCATATTATCTTTTGAATTGAAATAATAATCACGCAGATAAATCTTTATTTAATAGGTACAAGGTCAGTGTTCGAGTCTATGATCACACCGGTCATGCTTCATTCTTGCTTTGGGACCGAGAGTGTAAAGAAGTCTTGGGTGCAAGTGCGTTTGTTTTGAGAGAGATTATGATTGAGGTTTGTCAACACATTTTTTCCAAATTTTTTTTCTTATGAAGTCAGTGTATTCGCTAAATGACAAACTAATTTTATTCTTATTCTAAATTTTCCAGAAGGACATGGACCCAAACTTCCTGCCGCTAGAACTTAATCGCTTCCTTGGTCGTAAAGGTTTATTCCATATTTTGTTGAAGAACGATGTTGGGAGTCCAAGTTGGACTGGACCAAGAACTTTCGGGGTGAGATCTTTGGTTACCGACCCAAAGATCTTGAGCAAGTATGAACATTTGGTTGTGATTGAAGATGAAGAAGCAGACAAAGAAAGCGAAGGTCTATGGGCATCTCTTGAGGATTTGAGTCAGAAAGTGCATGAAGTGGTAAATTAAATAATTAATTAATTCTTTCCTTAAGCCACGTTATTCCTATGGAGGAGCTAAATTTTTCTACTCTTATAGATTGGTTCCAATAATCCAAGCTCTAGCCAAAGTGTCAACTCCAAGCAAAAAAGGATTCCCGGTCTGGACGAGAATGAAGCCGTGAAAAGGGAGCTGTTTGATGAAATCTCAACAAGTGCAAGCAAGAAAATGAAGAAGGAAACTGCTAGAGACTGAAATTCCGACTCATTGGGGTTGAAAATCAATGTTTTTTGTTTCTTTGAACACCCTATCTGTTTTGTGTTGTTGTGTGTTTTGTTTTGAAAAGTCCGTAGGGGGGTTTACTTTTGAGGTTATCAACATTTTTTGGATATTGTTTAGGTTGTAACCTCCGAAACTTATTTTATTTGAAGTTTTTGGCCGTCATAACAGAATTATTGCACTATAAATATTTAAATTACGTACAAGTAATCGTTGGATTTTGATATCGGCTACTTAATACTAATTCAACGCCTTTGCTGAGATAATTATACAGCATGAATATACGGACTATGTTAGAAATAACATCAAAACGGATAGATATTAAACTGCCATAAGAAAAAATAAATGCACACTTCCAAACGGTATAACAAAGTATATATATATATATACACACACACACACACACAGCCAGAAATTAACTGTTTTTAACAAAATTATGACACGCAAGATTACAGCAGATTGGGATTTAAACATTGTCATTTATTACATTGAATAATGTAATGAGCGTGTGGCTCAAGGTCTGGGGCTCAATGTGAATGATTTTATTTTCAGAATCTAATTTGATTGTAGGACTCCATACACACTGCCCATAATCATTAAGTTAGATGTAACATAAAATAATTAAAATACTACTTATATTTTATTGAGTTCTGGTGTAATAAGAAATATCATTTTACACTGTCATTCCTTATGCTTTAAAAAGAATATGAATTTAATCGTTAAATTAAAAGTCCTGGAGTGTGATTTGGTATCGTCCAACTATGATGTTGCTTGAATTTTTAAATCGGGAACGGTTTTTAAGTATGGGCTCGTATTCATATAGAGTCGTGATTTGTTATTGGGCCTAGCAATATGCCGTCGACGTGGTTATTTGGTTGTCCATGGAAATGGCCCAAAATGGATATGGCCCAAAATATGTGATTTACACTACTTATAAAATTTTATTCTAACCCAATATATATAACATTTGGGGAACTTAACTTTTATGAAAAATTTAAAACAATACATAATGTATTACAAAATTAACTTAATTATTTTTATTAAATTAAGGTCGTCCACTAATATATAGATTCCAAATTTTTGTAAAGATATATATGTATATATATGTGTGTGTGTGTGTGGGGACGGGACAGCCAATTGATAATTAGATACCATGTACTTCTTTGCATTAAATGCATATCTACATATACCTGAGTATATCTTTTAAAAGATATTGGCTAAGTACTTTTCACTTTGCACACGCCTAGATATGTATAGGCTAATTAAGTACTTTGCATTAAATGCATCCCATACACAATGACAGCCCATGCCTAGAGTCACACGCCTTCATCAGTTCCAGCGCAATAAATGTCAATTACCCATCACCATTGAACTAATTTAAACATTTTAAATTAACAATTGATAACCAAATTCTTTTTTTATTTCTTAAAAATAACATACTAGAATTTTGTCTTCAGAACTAAAAAAAACAATTCAAAAAGTATTTAATCTTCGAATCCTTAAAAGTAATATTTTAATATTTTAAACTTAGAGTAAATTAATTTTATGAATAAAACTAATATTTTAATATATATATAAATATATGTGTGTGTATAATATTATCTATTCATGTTAAAAAATTAAAATTTTTTAGTGCCAGTAACATATTTGCTAAAATGACACTAAATTAAAATATAATGTCAGTAGATTAAAAACTACTTGCTCAAAGTAGATCCGCACGCCTGTGCCTGGCATACTCTCAAATATCAATCAAGTATAATGAATTAAGTGCAGGCCATTATATTAGAGTATCCCACGCCTGACCGAGTTACCCGACACAAGATCCAGGCCATTAAATGCAACTTCTTATCAACACTTAAGTTATTTGAATAATAAAAAAAATAGCAAATAAAGGATTTCATGTTTTGACCCAGGATAAAACATACATTTAATGGAAGGTACATTCCTTCAAAATAAAAATAAAAGTTTCAATTTACGTAAAAAACGTATATATATATATATATATATATATATATATATATATATATATATATATATATATATATATAAGTTAGTGTGAATAGTATTATGAATTTACGTAAAAAAAGTATAAGTATAAATACATTACTATATTTAAAAAATATATGTGAAATTATTCAAATATATATAAAAATATAGATATAAATATAAATATAAACATATATATATATATATATACTTATTTATTTCTTTCTCTGTGAGTGCCATAATAATATTATGTATTCATATAAAATATTAATATTTTTTTAATAAGTTACATATATCCTAAATTAGAAATAAAATATTACACTCAGAAATTAAATTTTACATTATGCAGAGAAAAAATAGACTTGGGATGTTTGTATCCACATCCCTATGCTGAGCAAAGGCATAGTTGTGTAACCTTCATTAAATGCACTATAAAGTATACAAGTCTTTAACTACTTCCCTCTTTCTTTCCTCATTTATTTCTGAACATCCTAACCAACAACCACATTTATTTTGAGCTTTAGTAATTCTATCAAGCATTCACAAGTCCATTTCCCAGGTCAGTAATCAATTACCTTCTTTTATTCCTTATTTAATGTTAACCAGTATTACTTATTTTCTAGATATAATAGAAAATATACTTATATAATGTTAATTGAATTGATTAATTGGCTGGATGATTAATGAAATACTTATAATCCCAGTTTGGTATGAAATTTAATGTTCTTCAATTAATAAGATTATGATGTTGTTATTAGGTTACCTGTGACTGCCTGGGATGAGAAAGCTTACCAAAAACGAGAGAATCAGTCCACATCTTGATTCCGAAGAGGAACTAGACAAAGGTGACTTTAATACCTAAGAATATTTTTGAAACAATTTAGACTTAGTACAAGAAATTAGGCATGAATATGTGTTATGTTAGTGTAATAGTAGTCTGGAATTACCTTTCTTAGAATCAAAGCCTCAATTAATCCTGTGGTTAGACTTTTTTTTCCTCCCCTAAGAACTTGGTAATGTGCCATTGAACCTTTATCATGCTCAAACACAGTTCTGAACACGAATACTCAGGTATAATGACTTTTCAAAACCATGAAATTTAATACTTACATGAAAATTTAACCCTTTTTCCAGTATGCATATATATGTATGTATATATATGTGAATCTATTTTCAGTTTAAATAGAATTGATATTTATGTGTGTGTGTGTGTGTGTTTGTGTGTGTGTGTGTATGTAAAATCTTTCAAGGGTACTTACAAAAATATTAATAAGTACCAGTAATATGTAAAATCTTTTTACGGACTGATTAAATGAATCAAGTCATTGGCTTAAAAAAATAATAACGTATATATATATAGGTATATATGTATACCACAAAACATATGTTAATGTGCAATTGAGCCTTATTCATGACCAGAGATTACTGAACATGATTACTGAGGAACAATAACTTGGGTAAAGATTTAATCTGAACTCCCTCATATCAGAATATAATAGTTTAAAATTGAAGAACAATTTTTAGAAGTAAAGAAAATATATTCTTAAAAAATATGTGTTTTTCATTTAAAAATCAAGTAAATTTCGTCCCCAATGACTGAATTACCTATAAATATAACTACTTAAAATGCTTTAAAAATCAAGAATTCACATTCCAGAATTTATTTTGACCAAAATAAATCATCAGTAGAACGAGTAATTCATGCAATTTTCCAATCTGGAATGTGAATCAAATTATATAGGGTATTCTTAAGTACAGATCTGTAAACTAAAACAAAATAAATAGATCAGAGATTCTTTGAGAGTGAATATATTTGCCATATTTCAAGATCTAGAAATATAGAACGTGATTTAAGAGGAGAATAATCAGATCAGATATTCCATGAGATACAATAATGTTACCGCATGATGAAAATTATGTGTCGGAGTAGTTTAAAACCGAAGCAGGACGTTGGCGTATACATCGGTATGATCCAGATAACGATTGTATATGATCTTAGGAGGCGTTGATTGCAAGGAAGATGTAGGGTTTCTAGAGAGAGAAACAGAGACGAAGGGAGCGGCGGAAGAATGAGGGGAAAGAAACCCTTGGGCTAAAAAACGTAAATGTATAAGGTTTTGGGCCACATTTCATTTCTTTTCAACATTAGGGCTGGGCTGAATTCAAGCTATGGGCCAGTTCAATACTCCACTTATTTATTATTGTATTCTTTTTACCTTTATATATTAAAAAATTCTAATACACTTTTTTTTATTACAAATATAGGAGGAATTGGAAGTTTAATTGAACCGTGTTACAAGTGCAACAATAACGAAGATTCACTTGATATGGAAATGTGTTGGAAATGCTTTAGTGTCGTTGGTCATATGCGCTGCTTGCTAATTGCATATGAGGATTTTGGTCCATTGTATGTTTGTGAGGATTGTGCTATTTTACCACCTCCATCGCCCGCTCCATTGCTTATTTCTCCTCTGCCTACTTCACCACCTCCGCCACCAAATTCTCCCTCCGAGCTGCGAATGGAAATAACTATGTTTCCAGCATTGAGAAGATCTAAGAGGGTTAAAATAGCCAACCGAAAATATTTCAATGATGACTATGTGGTTTTATGTTAATCCATCACGTGTTTTGGACTGATGACTATTTAAGTACTTCGTACTCCATGTTTTTTGTTTGAATATTAGCGTCAATGTTAGTTTTTCTTATAAACTGTTTTGGTAGTCTACAAGGAATGTGTAATATCCTAACTATTGTAAGACGCTAATCGTTTTCTTAGACATCAATGGTTGTATTTTTAGACAAAATCATTCATTGGGTTGTTTTTTATTACTAATATATTTGATGTTTTTCATTGTTATTATTGTATTCTATGATCAATTCATTATTCTTACCAATAATTTAAATTTAATCAAACTTTTAACCTAAATGTTATTTAAATATTTACAAACTAAATAAATTTTTATGTTATCTTTTCATTTGTACAACTTATATAGAAAATGGAAGATCCAATACTAAAGAAAATCAAAGGAGGCG